ACAAGAAAGAGAAGGAATGAAGAAAGAAAAGATGGTGTTGTTGCCAGTGTTAGCTTATCAGTGTTAACAATCACAAGAAAGAGAAGGAATGAAGAAAGAAAAGATGGTGTTGTTTCCAGTGTATTACTGTTAGCTTATCAGTGTTACAATTACAAAGTCAAGGACTCGTATGTTACATTCCCGACAGCTGTCAGCCATATGGGCTCTACCTCCTTCAAGTATATAATCATGTTATGGATAAAGTGTTAACTTTGTGGCTTATAATGCAAACATTCAACACTTTTTAAGGTCGTGTTAATTATGTTTTTGTTTAGAAAAGGCGGAAAGATAAAAACAGTAAGCAAACGTGCATGGTTTGCTTTTTGCGTGCTGTTTGCTTCCCTGTCGTTGTGCAACACATAATAGCACGAGTTCAAACATTCAATCTGATCTTGTTTGTTTGTTCTAGATGTTGGTCTTACGTTGGACGGGCAGGCGGTGAGCAGAAGATATCAATAGGAGCAGGATGTGAGTTTGTGGGTACTGTTATCCATGAAATCGGACATGCTGTAGGGTTTTGGCACGAACAAAGCCGAAGAGATCGTGACGACTACATCAAGATCGTAAAAGATAATATTGAGCCTAGTGCCGAGGCGCAGTTCAGTAAGTGCACTCCAAGAACTTTCTGCAAATCCATAGAAAGAAATTTGTGAATGGAAAAAAGGTTCTTCCATGAGAATAACCTGATAAACAAGTAATGAAGACAAATAAACAAAACTGATCATGAGCACGTTTTACTGTGCAAACAGAATAGCAGGTACACTTCGATCATAACACTTATTAACCTTGTTTTTCCTCGCAGAAAAACTACCAAACAGGCTAATGGATTCCATGGGCTATGCTTACGACTTCGAATCCATTATGCATTATGGACCCAAGTTCTACAGCAAGAATGGCAAAGCAACCATTAAAATAAGGAAAGTTGGAAGAAGAATAGGAGCAAGAATTGGTCAAAGGAAAGGTCTTTCCTGGATTGATATAGCACAAGTACACGCCATGTACAAATGTAATGTCATCCCTTCCCATGAATCAGGTAATGTTACGACAGTTATTGCCATTCTTTCTTTCTTTTTATTGTCGTCTTATTCACGCTTTCCCATCATAAACTATTTGCCGCAATACCAGTTTCTCTACAAGATCCATTGTTCAAAGCACCTTTGATCGTTTCTGGTTCTTGACGTAGGGAAATCTGTTCAGTGTTGGGATTGATAATCTATTTTACTCAACAGTGACATGTTTTAATAGTTCAACTGGCAACGGACGAGACTATCGGGGTAAACTGAACTACACCGTGAAAGGAGTGATGTGCCAGCCATGGTCACAGCAATGGCCACACCAGCACAATGAAATGAACGATCCAATCAGGGCAGCCAATGATGGTCTTGGTGACCACAGCTACTGCCGCAATCCACGAGGGAGGAAGAGTCGTCCATGGTGTTATACTACACTTAAACGAACAGTATGGCAGTACTGTGATATCAAAATTTGTCGGAGTGCTAAATCAAAACGAGGAACGTAAAGCAAGTAAAGTACAGGAAGAACGGAAAAAGAGCTGGTTGCAAAAAAAGGAAGCCAGAGGAAGAAGAGCCATAATACAATGCGTCTTGAAGCCATTTGGTTAAGCCTTATCAATGATCAGATAATTCTTATAGTTTACTGGTCAATAAGCAAATGTTTTTCTGCCAGTCAAACAACGCCTACAAATTTTGTTCATCCAGTATGGACCCCCATTATCCTTCCAGGTCACAGGCTTGGTTTAACAGACAAAACATATCTAAAACCTTCACCTAAAGGAGATATCTTTTGTTATTACTGCTATACGACCACTGACAAGGATAAAAAGTGACAGTGATATAAACACTATATGGCAAATATAATACCTAATATATAAATATTATTAAGTCAATGTACAATATTTTGTCCCATTGACTTACGCCTCAATCAATACATGGTTGGTGTATATGCTATTTGTTATTTTCAAAGAAAGTTAATTAATGTCTAACAAATCTGCTGTCAATCAAGCAAGCGTAGCATATATACTGCCATATTTAATAATTTTAATAAAGGTCTGTCAGCAATGGAAAGAACCTTTTAACAGGCTGATATGTTATCCATTACAAAACGCGTAAAATTGAGAAAAGCGAGTGCCTGGTCCAAGATAGGAATACATAATGTAAGCTATGCTACGTTTCTTAGGACGATGGTAGTAGATGGTAGATATTATAGGTTTGTTAGTAATTTGTTATAGAGAGCATTACAAGTTATTATTTAAATTGATATAGTACTCGACATATAGGAAGAATGCTCCAAGCCTCGACACTAGGCAAATCAACTTTATGCTAATTTATGTTAATTTATTCAATAGAATCGAGTCGTCGATTTGTTCTAATATTAGAGTGTCAAAAGAAATAACGGAATACTTGACATGAACTACTTATTGTATTATATAAAAACGGCAGCTTTCAGGGTTTGCACGTTACCATAGTTACGGGAATATCAAACACTGAGCTTTCAGTAACTGCCAAATATGGTGTTGTTACCAAATATGGTGTTGTATTTGATTTTTATAGCCGATGATCATTTCCAGGAAAAGCAGAACGAAAAATGAATGGATTAGTTGTACAAATGTAAAAGAAATATATTTATATAAATAAAGTAATACGAATCTAATATGGAACAATATTTACATAAAAACGCAATATATGGTAAAATTGAATGAGCCAACACAGTCGTGTAACCATCATGCCTTGCAATGAGACTCGTCACGTGATAATAAAATATATGTACCTCTGTACTACTATCAGTTGTGACGTATCCATATGGTTCGTACACTGCTAAAGCGTCGTCTTTCGTCACTGGTTCGAACCCTAGACACTATATGTGAATGAGTTTGTGTGATGTGCTATTCTCTCCTATGCTGAAGGCTTTTTCCAGTTTCCTCCCTCCGTAAAAATGAACATGTGAGTTGAGTGTCGTGTGCATAGAACATTGAATGTAGTGGTATAGTGTGTGTCGGTGAAAAGTGTCCGAAATTAGTGCGAAAGCGCTAGAACGACTAAGCACTTAAATTAAAAGATTTATTATTATTATTATTATAGTGTCCGAAATTAGTGCGAAAGCGCTAGAACGACTAAGCACTTAAATTAAAAGATTTATTTACAAAATAAATCAAATTCTATCCTGAAAAAGGCGTAAACTCAAATAACTTGTTATCGCTATCAATACACAACGGTGGTGCACCTCAACGGGATCTACAGCTGTAACTAGTTTGATTAAGCTAAATTCAGTTTTTTGAGTATGTACCATTTCACTCTAAATACAACATTAAAATACAAATCAGCACAGTAACTATGAAAATAGCAATAATATACAACGTAATCAGTGCTTTGATGCATACAAAGAAGTATTTATTTGCCACAGGCCTAGATAGGCGCTCTATGTCATTATCATTGTTATTCTCAGAGGTGGTCAATATAAGTACTGTGGTAAGATCAATTTAGGATTAGCCTTGGGTTGGCGTGGCTTTGTTAATGACCTAGAGGGGAGTCATTGTTATCACGTAACCATTAAGTCCCCTATAGGAAACTAATAATTATCGTCAACAGCTTCAACAGTATTTGTGTTTGCTTTTAATATCATCAGTGAACGCGATTCAACATCAAACAAATAAATAGGAACTGGAATTTATGATACAAAATTAGAAGTGAGATTGCAATTATATTAACTTTATTTACGTCTAGGAATCATGGTTTTAAAATATCTGTAAGTATTTAAATAAAGTAAATATATTAAAACGTTAAAACGTCTTGTCCACCTTAATCATTGGTATTTCAACATAAAAGTTAGCCCAATTTCTTTCTTTCTTTCTTTTTCTGCTTCTCATTTATTTCTACGTGAATCATTTATCACCAATCTAATTCTACAAGGGTCAGTTATCTCCCATCTATTTCTATGTGAATCAGTTATCACCAATCTAATTCTACAAGGGTCAGTTATC